TTATGTAATAAATTTAAAAAATTTCTTCAAAGTAGAACAATACTTATAACATAATATTGAAATTAATAATAATTTAATATATTACAAAATTAATAATGAAATTATGTAATAATAGTATAAATTATGATTTTATAGATAATTAAGTTTAATAAATAATTAATATCTTAAAATTTCAATATTTTACATATTATTTAAGTATTTAAATAACTAAATATTTAACATAACTAGGTTTTAAATAGTTAAAATAAAGAAATTATGTAATAAATTTAAAAAATTCTAAAAAGTAGAAATATAATTATAAAATAATATTGTAAATAGTTAATTTCACTTATATCAAGTAATAATTCGAGAAAATAACTTTCAAAAAAAATAATATTTATTAATAATAATTTTAAACTCTTAATCTGTATTTATTTTATAATTATATTTACTAAAATTAATATTTTTATTCTTTTGTGATAAATGTATTATCAATGAGTATGTATAAATTTATTTTGTTTTGTTATTTAACAGAAAACTTTCAATAATTATTGGAAATTAAATTACTATTGTTGAAATTTTTAAATTTAATTTATTGTAGTTATTGTATTTGTTGTATTTTTGTTATAAGTTATTGATTAATATTTATTAGGGATTAAATTATTATTTGAGATTATACTATTTATTGACTAAGTTAATATATTTTTAGTACTTATTGTATTTTTCATTATCAATATATTTTCAATAGTTGTGTATTTTTGCTATAAATTTTCAATAATTATTGGAGATTAAACTATTGTTACTTATCTGAGATAAGACTATTAATTTAGCTGAAATTATGAGTGTTCATGAGTTGGTTTGGTTCGGTCGTAGACTATTTGGCCAACCATATTGACCTGGTCAGGTTAGGGAGTTGGTCAGCTGAAACCGACTTTACCTTTTGTGAAAATCGACCCACTCAAGTTGTATCGGTTTGGGTTGATTTTTTCGTTTGGCCAATCTATTCAAAAGATTTAAACTTAAAAATTTAATTTGACTTTAAAATTATAGTGCAATTATTAAAAAATAAATTTAAAAATTAGATTTATGATATAAAACATTTTAGACTAAGAAATATGGGAAAATTCCCACTTTTCCATATTAAAAATTATATTTAAAATATAAAATATTAATATATATCCATGTTTAGGTCATTCGATTTTGGTCGGTTTACAAATGGCCAAAGTGAAACTGATCCAAATTGGTCGAATTGGGAAAATTTTGAATTAAAGCCAACCTAAAATACTAGAAAATCGATTAGCTTGGGTCGAGTTAATTGGGTCGGTCGTTCTCACCAATTTGACAAATAAACCTAACTGAAATTAATTATTGTTATTTTTGTATTATAAAATTTTTATTAAAAGTAGTATATAAAATCTGAATAATTATTAATTATTTAAAAAGTTAAAAATATAAAATAATTGTATACTCTTATGTGTTTCTATTATGGTCATTTATTATAACACACTTTTAGGGAGGGCAATTTTCCCCATCCCCAATGGGGACCCAACTTCCCCGACCTGATGGGGCTAGGGATGGGGATTGTTTTGGCGATGCGGGGGCGGTGATGGGGAATAATAGGAATCCTCGGTCGAGGTCGGGGTCGGGGCTAGGGGTGGAGATTGAGGTCCTTGTCCCGCTCGACACCGATTATATATATTAAATGTAATTTATACTAAATATACTATACTATTATATATATATATATATCAAAACATATTTAAAATATGATCCCTGCCTTGTTGCCATTCCTATACACCTTATAGTTTTGCATATTTACTTAAACCTACCTTATAGTTTTCATTTTACTAAAACATCCCATATATTTTACAACTTATTTACTTAATCAACCTTTCATTAAGGGGTGTTTGTTTTGCCCTTAAGCCCATGATTTTTTATTCCAAAAATACCCTTAATGCTTTTTTTTTTTTTGTAAAAAAACAAAATTGACCAAGTATAACCAATAGAGTGGTTTCCTGTGTCTTATTAAGGGCAACAATGGTATTTGTATTTTTATTTTATTTTGATTAAATTTATTTAAATGAACATTAGGGTCATCCTGTCATTTTCCACTGTCATCTAATGGAAGATTGATTAAATCCATTGCACATTATAAGTGGTGTTTTAGTAAAATGCTAATTATAGGGTTGATTTTAGTAAATCCATGAAACTATAAGGGGTATTTTAATATATGACCATTTCTATCATTTAGCTTTCTCTTAATAAATCCCATGCATCGCACAGGTTCCCGCTAGTATTAAATATATAATATTATTTATATTAAATATATATATATATATCAAAATATATTTAAAATATTATTTACATTTTAATTTTTCCTTTATTTTAAATAAGTACCTTTCTAAAAACAAACTTCTAATTAAAAAATCTAGGGATTCAAGTCCCCAATGGGGAAGCCCTCTTTGTCGAAGACCGTTGATGCAGGCTAAAATTTTTGGTAGGGATTAATTTAAAACTCGAGGTCGGAATGGGGAGTATGATCCCCGCCCCGGACTCGCCCATTGCCATTCCTACCCTGGGGGTCATCCCCTAAACATATAAAACCCCCCAACCCATAAATATAGTTCCATTAATTATGGTAATTATAAATGTAGTATCGATGCTTATAGAAATTATAAAAATTTTCCAATTATTTATTTGAAAAGTTGGAAGTTTTATGATTTAAGTTTCACTAAATTATAAAAATCACCAATTATTTCACAAAAATTATAGTAAGTATCAAAATTACTGAAAATATAAAAAATAAATTTCTATTTAGTAAAATTAGTTTTCCATTAAAAAATTACTGAAAATTTTTAATTATTGTTTGATAATATCATTAAATATTAATAAATTGACCAAAATTACTGAAAATATCAGTAACTAATTATTGCTAAAAATTATTGATAATTTTTAATTATTAAATTTGTATTTATTAATATTTTACTTAATTATTAATTATTTAGTAATTATTTATTTCAATAATTAATTTTCAAAAAAATATGAAATTAAATTACCAAAATCAGTAATTTTCAGCAAGTAATTCTTAGTAATTAAAATTTTCAATTTATCAAAATTACGAAAAATTATAGTTTAGGTGTTTATATTTACTAAATAATATTCAATAATATCAGTAATTATTGAAAATATAAAAAATATTTCACAAATTAATTTAACCATCCAAGTTAATTTAATTAATTAATTTATCCACATTTTTGTTTGTTGGTGGTTTATAATATAGATTAAGAGGTGTTTTAGGAGGAATTTTAGATGGGAGAGATCGTTTAAGAGAAATTTGAGGTGAGGGTTGAGCCGATTGGTAACAAGAGAGAGATTTTAGGTGGGATGAATAGTTTAGTAGAAATTTTAGGAGGGGATTGGCTAAGTAATTGAGAACATGAGAAAGAGATTTGGAATGACACTCTAGTGTAGAAGAAAGGGATGCCGATTGGCTACATAGAAGGGCTAGGAAGGGATAAGGGGGATAGGAGAGAGGTTTAAGGAGAAAAGAGAGGAGGAATGGGAGAAGGAGAGGGATGCTGATGTGGGACTTAATCACTTTATAATATAGTATAGATAGATAGATAGATAGATGGACAATAGACCAAATGGTGAAACAGGGTTAACTGACCCCATATAGTAAGAGATAAGGCTTGGAGAAGATGATGATTATGACGATGACAGATTGACAGTTCCCTCTCCCCTGGGTGCATCAACAGAATTGAAAAATTAAAAGAAAGAACTCAATGAGAGGAACCATTCAACAATTGCATTCTTCACAAATTCAGATTTATTCCAATACAACTTAAAGTGGTGTATGGACATTAATGAGGTAGATTTTTTATTTTTCTCTCATTTGATAAGCTTCATTCAACGAAAGTCAAGATTGGATCGAGTCTTTCCTTTGAATCTAAGAGCTAAAGACCAAATTAATTGTCAAAAAATGAGCTGAAGACCATGCATGGTCACTGTCCTCAAGTTTCATTTTCTCATTTAGGTGGTGCTACCCTTTCTAATTACGTCCTCCCTAGAAATTTCTGGGAGACATTGACGAGAGAACAAATAAAACAAATTAAACTTTTCTTTCTACCATCCTCGTTGCAATCAACACGCAGGAATGCTCAAAATCAAACTCATGATCTAGCCATTTGATGACAAATCTGGATCCTAGGGTGGTCCAGACCCAAAATCACTCTGGTCAGATGAACGTATTCAGAAGAAAGCTTGCCATCATCAGAATTGGGATAGCCTCTTTCCCATCTTACCTGGTTGAAAGTTCAAAGTTCAAACATCCCAATTAATCAACTTATGGCCAAGAAATTGAGTAAGAACGCGTAAAGTCAATTGGGTCTATGCCTATAAATGAACATATTGCCTTCCTTTAAGGCACCAAAACATTGCAAGAGAGCATGGCATCAAAAGTTGGGGGATTGTCCACAGAGATCACCATGAAATCTTCCAACCAGTTGGGTGTTACAGGAATCCTAATAGATGCACTGAAAATCCTTTTCAAGAGTAGGAAGCTCATGGCTTCCATCTTTGTCCTCACCATTCTTCCTTACTCTCTTCTCTTCTTAGGCAACCAGTTTCTTACCAAAACATTGGTTGCTGATCTGTTTTTAAGATTTATACTTTCCACAAAGAATACCAGGAAGTCCCGAATATGTCAATCTAATGGGCAAAATCAGAAGTGATATTGGAAATTTCATGGTCACAGAAGGGATCTTAATAGCTGCTTTGTGGCTGCTCTTTTTTTTCTCCACGGTTGCAACTATTTATGCCTCAGCTGTGACCTACAGCGGCAGGGACTTGACTCTCAAGGAGTTGATATCAAGGATCAGAGCAACATGGAAAAGTCCAGCAATCACTTTGTTCTATGCTTCCCTCATTAATCTGGGTTGCACTCTTCTTGCCTTGCCTTCCTACGGTTTGTTGGCAATGGTTGCCATTGGTGGTTCTAGTGGTTGGATTGCGTCGGCTGTTTTTGGTTCCATGGTATCTCTTGTGTTTCTTTGTATCACAATCTATGTGTCCCTGGTTACGACTGTGAGCCTTGTTCTGTCGGTTCTGGAAGATGGTTGTTACGGGATGAAGGCAATTGGGAGAGCTGAAGGGCTTATCAAGGGAAGAAGGCTTCAAGGAGTTCTTCTCATCGTTCTTTGCTCTCTTGTTCTTATCCCTATCTCTGGATTTCAGGGATTCATAATGGGCAGAATGGCTTTCACAGAAGCTATTCGATTAAGCATTGCAATTCTGCTGAATGGTATAAGTTTTCTGGTCAAGATCTTTGGCCTTACAGTGTTTACTGTGTTTTATTACCAGTGCAATGTAAGCCTAGCTGAAGAGATTGATGTGGAGCAAGGAAAGGGATACATTAAGATTCCCAACACGGAAGTCTGAAGGCTTTCCTTGACAAGGCTGTGAATTGTGTGAACTCCTCAGTGTCTCCTGTCCTTTTCTCTTAGGCTATGTTTGGTTTGAAGGAAAACGTAGGGAAAGGAAGGGAAAAGTAAGGAAACTAATACAAGATTTGCAAAGGTTCTTACCTTTTCCTTCAAACCAAACATCGCCTTACTGTGTATTGCCATTAATATTGTTTTACAATTTTATGTAGATTTCTTATGGTTTTGAGTTGGATTTCCCATGAAATCCAAAATAGGTGAAAAATTCTTTTTCAGATTGCAATACTCAGTAATACCCATTTCTTTGTAAGAATTTCAATGTTGGATTTAATTAATGGATTGTAATGCTTGTCTTTATATAGGTAGATGTCAATGAGCCGAGCTAATTAAGCCCAGCTTCAACTGCTTCGGAAACTGGGAATTGTCACGTTACATTTTGGCTTTGGAAGGAGTATAAATACAATACAAATATGTAAAGTGAAAAACCTTCTATTTTGTATTATTTTGACTCAGTTAGGAAAAAGTATAAATCTAAATATGTACGGTACAAATATAAAGTTTAATAATATTAAATAATATAAAATATAAGATTTTACACTTTACATATTTGTATCTATATTTTTACTAAATTGAGCCTTGAGACAGTGGAAAATGTGAAGGGACATGGATATGAGTCATCTGACTCTAGTTTGGATATGGTCCCAACAGCCATGGGAGCCCTATATTTTTCAGATGGGATCTGCTTCTCACACTTGGGTGCCTCACATGCACATCCACCATGCATTGGGAATATCTTTTGTGAATAATAACTTAAAAGTATGGGAGATGTTCCTCATACATGATAAGATGCATGTGTGAGGCGCCCTTTGCGAGGAGCAGATTTGGTCTCTATATTGTAAACATTTCCCTTGTTTTTTATGGTGAAATGTTTTAAATGTACGGCTACAGTGAATGTTGGGATCAGTTCTAAACTCCATAGATCTAGAGTTTTTTTTTATTATTATTATTCCGAATAAAAAAAAATTGCCCATGATGGTTTTTTGTCATGTGTAATGCATGTCTTCTCTATAACAAGTTATAACTTTGGGGGGGGGTGGGGTTTGAAATTCACATCTGCCCCACACAGAGTGTCTCAAAAACGTCCTATAGGACATCCTAACCATGTATTGGGAACATCTCCCAATGACAAATATTGGAGGTGTTCCCAAATTCATGCTCAAATGCGATGTGGGGCGTTTTTGGGGCACACTAAATGGGGCGTAGATGCGAACTTGAGAGTTTGGCATCGATTCTCTTTCTTTAAATCCATTTTTTGAGAAAACGGTACTGTATGGATGAGGGTCTGTTGCACCATTTGTTTGGCACCATTTTCTTAGAAAACAGCTCATCTTAGAAAACAACTCACACTAAATTCTTGGGAAGAGTTTGGTTCGTAGGACGAACACTGTTGGTTCTGCTCCAGCATCACTGTGTCATTTTCAGTGGGAGTAGATCTTGGGAGTATTCTTTGGGCGTGAACACCGACGTTGGGAGATACCGACTCTCCATATTAGGTATAACCCTTCCCTTTCCTTTTGGTTCAGATCTAGTTCGGTTTTGGTTCGATTAGATCCTTGAATATTGTATTCTAAAATCATGGAATATGATTCCCAGTTGAAAGGGAGGAGAGAAATTTTTGAAATTCGCCCACCCTATTCCGCTGCTTTCTTGGCGTCCATATGATGGATCTCTCCCTCCCTTTCACAAGCAACCGAAAACCCAAGCATTCCTTACAGTTGCCGCAACGGGTTGGTTTGCTACAAAAACTGAGTAGTGGTGCCCCCTCTGTTAGACAGTTGTATGCCCTTAACTCCAATCAGAATGATGTACATTATGAATTTATTGTAAATGAATAAAGTACATATTTGATTCATATTCCTGTGGTGTGTTTCTGTGTAATACCCTTAAATTGGACACTTATGAGACTCGTGTTAGTTTAGAATGTTCACAACTGTTGGATAAGTTTGGGGAGATTTATCTTGGCAAGGCTGACACTGGTGTGCTGCCAATTGTTGGGGTGGCCTGTCTCAGCCACTAGGGTGAGATCCAAGGCACATGCAGTGTAGGATTAATTGAATCTTTGAACTGGACCAGATTTCCAGTATTGCTCTGGACCTTGGAGATTGATGGGCAAAACTGGAAAGTTACACCTGACCCCTAGACTCAATTATGATACTGCACTAGGTGTCGGATTGGGTTGTCTTTAATATGCCAACTAGTGAGATCTTTAGTGGGGGTCAAAACCTGGGTATGTTGGGACAATCTGAGAAGTCATCTGAGTGGGTGATCATAGTGACAGGATCAACCCCTTTGTCGGGCAAAGGTAATGATCGGGGATGCACTCTCTCTGATGGAAACCAAGACTGC